TGACATTCAAACTCTGATTTCCTAGCAGTGCACCAAAGCAAACTTTTCCTAGTTTACCAAATAGTTCTTAATGCCATATTCAGAGTGGGCAAGTGATGAAATATATTTTACATTGTCTCAGTACAAACACACACCCTCTTATGTACTTCAATGTAACGTGACGCAAGTATGACAGGTCAGTTTGCATAATGTCATTTTGGCCTCATTGTCGTTAGAAACAGACGCATATGATGGGGCCAAAGGCTAAAATGAGAAATGATGCACCACAAAAGATAGTTTCAAAAAATAAACAAGGGCACAGTTGAATGTGCCTTTCTTGTACATGCCTTTTGAAAAGTGATTCTCACTGGCTTCAGTGTGGATATTTCTCACATAAGCTGAGAATTAATAAATAAATTCCTGACACAGGAGGTAATGATTCCTAGAGAAGTGTTTCTCAGCCTTGGCAACTTGAAGATGTCTGGACTTCAACTCCCAGAATTCCCCAGCCAGCATTCGCATTCGCTGGCTAGGGAATTCTGGGCTTGAAGTCCAGACATCTTCAAGTTGCCAAGGTTGAGAAACACTGTCCTAGAGGAATAAGTTGTTGTTGTGTAAAAAAACAAAACACTTTTATATAAAACTCTTGGAGCTGTGGTTCTTTTAAAGGCTCTTTTCCAGGAATGGAAAACATGGGACTCTGCTAATTGCTGAACTTGAACTTTGATCAGCTCCTGACATCATAAGCAAAGGGGGGGAACGGAGAATGTTGAAAGTTAGTTGTACTTCAGCAGTACTGGTAGTTCTCGACATTCAACAGTTTGTTCAGTGACCGTTCAAATTTACAACGGCACTTTAAAAAGTGACATGACCATTTTTCCCCCTTACGACCATTGCTCTGAATCCCCATGGTCATGTGATTTACCTTCGGATGCTTGGCAACTGACTCACGTTTATGACGGTTGCGGTGTCCCAGGGTCCCTTTTGCGGCCTTCTAACAAGCAAAGACAATGGAGAAGCAAGATTCACCTGACAACTGTGTTGCTAACTTAACAGTTGCAATGATTCACTTAACAAATGTGGTAAGAAAAATTGTAAAATGGGGCAGAAATTCACTTCACAAATTTCTCACTTAGCAACATAAACTTTGGACTCCATTATGGTTGTAAGTTGAGGACTACCTGTATCTAGGAGATCACAAATTGTCCGCCTCTCCTTTAACAGAACTTTATTTTATTATTACATATGTCTGCAACCACTCCTCAGTCCTAGAGGAAACCAATGCTGATGGTCCTTTGGAAGGACAGATATTTAAAACTCAAATGCTCTGGCCATCAAATGAGAAGCGAGGACTCGTTGGATAAGAACCTGATGTTGGGAAAGACTGAAGGCGAGAAGGGGAGAAGGGGATGGCAGAAGATGAGATGGTTAGATAGTATCATCACAATTGTCCTGAGTTTGGACAGAATCAAACAGTGGAGGATAGGGAGGCCTGGTGTGGGAGTCACAAAGAGCTGGACACGACTTAACAACTAAACAACAAGCAGCCACTTCAGCCTTCATGTAGAACTCAAGCTGCTTAGCAAGTCAGAACAGGAAATTGTTGGTCCTCATCCCAAGACTTTATGAGATAATTGGACATAGCAGCTAAGATGCTGGATTAGTCCTCCTTCAGGCACGGAAGTCACCCAAGTAACCTGGGCTAATCATTTTTTCTCAGCCCAGGGGTGTGATAGGGAAAATCAGAGGAAATAATGTATGCTGCCTTTACTGACACAAAATATGGTAGTATACAAATCACGAATAAAATGATTTGAGGATATCAAATCATTATGTGCCATATAAAAACAAAACTCAAAATATATCCATTAAGGTAGTCTTCAATTTACAACCATTCGTTAGTGACTATTTGAAATTACAATGGCACGGGAAAAAGGGAATTGTGACCATTTTTCACACAACCATCGCAGCATCCCCATGGTCACATGATCAAAATTCAGATGCTTGGCAACTGGCATGTATTTATGACTGTTGCAGGGTCAGTGGGGAAACCAGACTCACCTAACAACTATGTAAGTAACTTAGCAGCTGCAGTGATTCACTTAACAACTGGCAAGAAAGGTTGTAAAATGGGGCAAAAGGCAGTTAACTGTCTTGCATAGCAAAGGAAATCAATTGTGATCATAATTCAAGAACTTCCTGTATTTAATTAGATAAATGCAACAATCAGATCTTGAATGCACCAGAGGCTGACTTTATATTTAAGGTAGAAAATGAGTAGGTGAATATATTTGTACCTTTACATGGCTATATTCAACTTGTGCATTTCCTCATGGCAGAAAGTAGTGAAAGAGGAAAAAAGCACATTCTCCCTGTTTTCAGTTGCATGCCTTGAACTTGACATTAGTTAATCAGATTTCTCAATTTTTTTTTCATAAAGCCAATGCTTTATTGTTTGCCTGACTGCAGATAAGAAGCTGCTCAGCTCCTTCAGCCTCATCAGTCAGGCCAGTGATTGCGGCCAAGGAACCTTTTCCAGTGGACTTAATAGCAGAGAAACGCTATGCCTGGTGTGCTTGTGGACATAGCCAAAAGCAGGTATCTTTCCAGAATTTCTCCAGGTTTCTTTTATTCTTATTTTGGTCCAAACTTGGAGTCCAGTGTCTTAACGAAACTGCCAAGAGGGCCTATCCAGTATTGCAGTAGTTATATTGGCTGAGTTTGAAGAAGCCAGTTCTCTTTTTGCTAATGCAAAAACTGTTCAACACATACAAGCTTTAAAAAAAGTTGCAAAACAAACTTGCCTCTTCAGGCTTAGCTAAGTCCCAGTTGCTCAGGCTAGGATGTTTTTGTAATCTGAGCAAAATTGCAACTATAAAATTTATAGACAGACAATGCTGTCTTTTGTTAGGCTTGTAATTTAGTCTTGATTCTGTTTGTATCTTAACAGCCCTTCTGTGATGGAACCCATAAGAAAAATGCCCCAGAAATGTCTTCCCTGAAATTCACAGCTGGAGAATCGAAAAAGGCCTGGTTATGTGGGTGTAAATATACCAAAAACCCTCCCTACTGTGATGGTACCCATAAAGAAGATTTTGTGCAAAAGGCTGACCTTCATTCTCAGCCACAGGTGTAATGGGAGACTGTTGTGGAAACGAAAGAAGTGACAGAACTCATCAGGAAATCAGACCTGGGGCTAATGTTTCAGGAGATACTACTGTGGAAACCTTATTAAAGTGAATGGGAGTCGGAGGACCCTTGCAAAGTTGTATTCATGTTGGTAAAGGTTGGTAAAGCATTATATCCCTCTTGCCTTGATGAATCCTCATAGAGAGTGGTTGGGAGAATGTTCAGTGTTTTACTTGCTTTATCCCTACTCCTTTAAAATAAATCCTACTGCAAGTCTTCTATTTGACAATTTACTGCTAATAAGATCAGTGCTCAAAAATTGGAGCAAATATTTTACTTTTCTGCCAAAGGGGCCACAGAGCCACAAGCACTCCCCGCTTTGTAGTCCTCAGCTCCCGCTGACGTGACTCCTGAAATTGAAATTTCTTGCCCATTGCCACTTCGAGACAGCAAACATAAAACAATTTGTAGTTAATACTAATTAAAAAACAGGTAAGCCCTATAAACTGAACAGCAGTTATAGCTGAACCATGTTTTATGGAACATCTGTTCTAAGATAAGACAAGATAAGGGTGTCAAATTGGTGGCCCACAGGCCAGATGTGTCATGCGCAGGTCATGCCCATCCCATGTCCATGAAACATCTCAATACATCACATGATGGCAATGTGACATGAGTTTGACACCCATGAGATAAAATAAACTTTGTGGTCATTTTTTTCTGTGAACACACTGGCATACATAATTGTCAAGTGCTATTAAAATGTTGCCCATATTATATCAGTAAATATTTACTGAAAGGCAGAATAATGAAGCTTAATGCATATGGCTTTGGGTACTTTGTAATAAACAACTCAGTTTTACATTTAATTTTGACACATAATGCAAACACGCACAATTATGTTCCCTCCTGCGAGATACGAATTTTGTTTTTCTCTTTTCATTTTCCTCCCTAGCTCTGCATTTTACATACTTCTAGGGAACCTTGAACAAAGATTCTCTCATCTTCCAGGATATTATCACGTGGACTTCCTCAGAATAGGGAATTGCCATTTCTATGCTGTGCTTAAGCAGTTACGCCATCCGAGTAGGAGTCAGCTTGGTGGCGTCATCTCTGCTGCAACTAAACTCAACCTTGTCAGCAATTCCTGTCTTAGGCAATCACTTTCTTCTACCCAGGCAGCTCAGGTACAAAATCTATTTTCAAGAGATCAGAGTTAGATTGCATCACTGTCTATATAGCTCCTATATGACTAGCCTAGACTAATAGTTGCACCTTCTCAATTACTTAATAGCAGCCTTGTGCTAAATGCTGCTGCTATTCACAAAAGCCTCTACTAGGAGAATTTTGAATAAAAGAAAGGCTGGCTCACAAGGAGCAAGTTTTGATTTAACTTGCTCATTCCAGGATCTTCTTGTGAGCTACTAAAGAAAAATGAATTGCCCTCCCCTGTTTTTATTCCATTTTCAATGAATTAATTCTTGAATTTATCTGAAAGGAAAGTAGTTACTTGAAGGAAAGAAACCAAAGATTGACCCCATGCCACCTAGAAGAGGAGAGAGGCTTAACAAAAGAAAGAGAGAGTCTAGGAATTTACACTGTAAATGCCACTGAAGGGGGGGTTGCTTAGCTAGCTCTGTTTTCCTTATATTTCAAGAAAATGTTCAGTGATCCAATAAATATGTTACTTTTTAAAAACCTGAACTATTAAAAAAACCCCACCTTCTGTTTCAAAAATAATTAAAAGTTCCATTGTAATATTTGTGGTTTTCAGTGATGGTCAGGGGTCTCCATTGTAACAAAGAGTCATCCTTACAACAGCATAATTAAATAACCAATAATTTAATTTTGTTGTAAATAAAATAGCAGAATCGTTTAAATAATGTGCACCTTTGTTTTGTGAGGCAAATAAGCCATAAATAAAGTCATGTCCATGAATTAAAAACATCCAAGAAATGATACAGATATGAGCAAAAAGTAGGCTGTGCTCTTTGAGATCAGGAAGGGGGACTCAAATGTCAGGATTTCTAAGACCATCGTCATGTGCAGTCAATTGCCTTGAATGGCTGAGCTGGCGTTTGAGTGCTGTACAGCTTCTCAGCTCTCCGTTCAAAGGCCGAGACCATCTGCTTGACTACTTCATTAAAGAAAAGATTAGCCAGTTGCGAATGGAGAGTGGACTTGAATTCAAAGGAGACCTGTGAATGAATAAATAAATTTGCATAAGTAGATATCTAGACATGTGCGTGTGTATATACATACATACATACATACATACATACATACATATACATACATACAGGTAGTCCTCAATTTACAACCACAATTGAGCCCAAAATTTATGTTGCTAAGTGAGAAATTTGTTAGGTGAATTTTGCCCCACTTTAGGACTTTTCTTGCCACATTTATTAAGTAAGTATCTGCAGTTGTTAAACAGTTATTAAGTGAATCTGGCTTCCCCATTGACTTTGCCTGTCAGAAAGTAACAAAAGGGGAATCAAATGATCCTGGGACACTGTAACCACCATAAATATGAACCATTTGCCAAGCATCCGAATGTAAATCACATGCCCATGGGGATGCTGCATTGATCATAAGTGTGAAAAATGGTCATAAGTCACTTTTTCAGTGCCATTTTAACTTCAAACGGTCCCTAACTGAACTGCTGTAAGTTGAGGATTATCTGTATAAGATTTCTCATGCTTGACCACATCTATGCCTGCTTAATTAAATGCATAATAGTTTCAGGACATCAGTTCCACAAAACCTAAACCTGAAAGGGAACTGATCAATCAGTGACAAATTTACAGTGCTGCAATAATTTACATCAGTATGCAGGAACCTTTGTACTTATGATAACACTGGACTTTGCCAATTTGCACATTCTTGCCCCATGTTCTGTTGGTTTTGGAGTCATTCCCCTTTCTCTATCAGGAATTAGTCTATGAAAGGCACCTACATAAAATTTGAGTGTGCAGGAATCCAGCCGTCCCGTGTTTCCTGGCTTAAATTGCCACAGTGTCTCCAGATGCCGAAATAACCGCCCATCTTTACTCACAGCCTGAAAGATAGACGAATAAGTAAAATTAATGCCTGCTTGTTTAAACTCATTTAAACCGCGGGGCGGGAGGTGGGGGACACACACACCAGCTTGCACTTGGTGATCCTTCTGCTGGGATTAATGTAGGATTAATCTGGTAGTCCTTGAACTCAGGCATAATGTGACCATTAAACCTAGCATCCAAGAAACTTTCTTTTCCCATTATATTTGATCATACCAGAAGTGGATTGCTCCCGGTTCGGCCGAACCAGTAGTGATGGCAGTGGGAGGCTCCACCTACCCGCACAAGACGCAGAGAGGTAGAAACCTACCATTGATTCATAGTGGCGAAAGAGAATTTGCCTTATAAATTGTTTAAAGCAACAGAAATTCAGGGAAGTCCTCACAGTTGCATTTATTTAATGAACCAAAAGATGAGCATGGATGTCCTGAGTTGTTGTCCTACACCCTACAGCTATCTTGGCTTCAAAATTCCAAAGGAAGGTTTCAGTAAGAAACAAAATAGCTGAATTTTTGAATATGTATGGTACCATGACTTAATAGAATTTCACATAGTCATTTTGTTACATTTTTATTTTTTTATTTAATAGATTTATATGGCTTCTTCTGACCTTGTAAATGCAATTCTGAGTAGCAAACAAGATTTTTTTAAAAACTACCGACCAAGCAATAAGAGAGCAAAAGAACACCCAGTGGCAACTGGGGAAACTGGTAACCAACCCATCTGGCTTTAACTAGTCAATGGCTTAAAGGTAGCGATGGCCTAAAGGGATTCTGAAAGACCCACAGAATTGTGGGGGATCAGTATTAGTATCATATCATCTCTAGAGGAAAAGAACATTGGAATTCGTGTTTTCAGATGAAGGGTTTGGATAACAAACATTTTTAAAAAAAGAATGAATATGGAGACCAGCATTCTCTAACTAGATTCTCGCCACATACATTAGACTGTTGGTGCTATTGCTATAGCATCAGCATATTTTGAAGGCAGCAGGTTATGGTCAGCTATAGCAAATTTTCATGTGGGGAAATATTAAAACCCTCTGTATCAATGCATAAAGAAAAAGGGAACCCAACTTTGGTTTTGATGACTTAGCTGAAGTTTACCACATATCAACTGATAAGTTGTTGCAACACCAGTGTTCTTTCTGAAAGAGCACTGACATAATACAGTTTGTCCCAGGGTCCTGTTGTTTTGTGTGTTAAGAGAGCAATGCCCAAGAAAGGGGAAATGAGTCATAAGCAGCAGCTAAACAGTTCAAACCAAATTTAAGTTGGGCTAACAATATTACAACTCAGGGACAATCAGGGGAGTGGTCAAAAAGTCAAGATGACAACCACACAACTGAAAAACACCACTGGTTGAGCCACAAAATGACTAACCACATTTCAGTCTGGTAAGATGTCCTGAATCCAAATAAGTGTGTTAGTTTCTGGTTCAAAGTATCATTACAGCCCAGAAAATTGGGTTAACCGAATGAACCATGGATAAATAATTTGGAGGTTAGAGAGTCTTGTGAATGTGGCCAGTTTCTGGAAAAACAAACTACTTAATTTGTAACTAGAACTTTAAACTATCTGAATATCATGGATTACCCGGATCTGGCAATGAGGCACTGAAGAGATCTCCGAAACATAGCGCTCAACCACAGGAGGAAATCCCACTTCCAGTTCAGCCTTGAAGACTTCTTTGCGATGGGAAATTATGCGGGAGCAGTTGCACCAGGGAACAAAGAGCTGGTAGCTGCCAACATCGGCTACAACGTCATACATCTGGTCCACAGAGTACCTGCTTGAGCAGAAGTAATGGTGATGGTAAGCAAAAACCATCAATGGGCATTTAAAGACAAAGATACTGTAGGAAAGCCCAAACTCTTGGATCAAACCAAACTTTTATTAGCTGCGATCAGTTTAAGCTATGGATAAATGTGAATTCTGTATCTGAAATATTACCCAGTTTTGATCATTGCTTCTCAAACAAATATGAAAAGATCAAAAGGGCTTCTGCGAAAGCTAGCATTTTAGGTTGAGGAAAAGTTCCTTTTATTTGGTTGATGAAAATAAGGTGCTTTCCCACCAATTTTTGGTAGGACAATCTCAGGATGTGATAAATGTGCATATCGGCCACATCTGCTTAGTAAATTATGAAAATCCAGCCATGAGATCTTTGGTCTGATCATTTTATAGTTCTACTTATATTTTTAATATATAAGAAGTAATCAGAGTAATCAGTAATCAATAAATCAATAAAAGGATGCCTCTAAAGATGAAGATCCTTGGATACAGACCTATATCTAGAATGATCTAAATACATGATTACATATTACTAAATGTTTCAAAGTAGAGCCAAATCCTAAACTATGGAAAAATGGAAAAATGATCAAGAGATACTGCTACCAGACAACTGGATAATGATATTTCATTAAGTGAGATTTCAATGCCGCTATTCCACGTGAGACCTCAACCAGGAACTGACTTACTGGTTAGAACTGAGCTACTCACGGGAGTTGACGGGTTTCAATGTATTCCATACGCTTGGCACCAAGTAGTGGGGCTGCAAGATTGAGGAAGGGCCGAACCTGCTTTCTCATAATTGATCTGGAATCCAGGAAAGAGCAGGAATTCATAATTAGAGGACCAAAGAAACTTCTAGAGCTTAAACATCTCCAGTGAACCATAGTGGGGATGATCCTGTAGAAAAGAGAAAAGGAGACATCAAAGATTGCAAAGCTGAGAACGTGAACATGAATGGTGAACTTTTTTATTTCTCATCTGAAGGCAGATAATGCTTTTGATAAGAGCTTCCCTTAGGACTAACCATGGTTGGCAGACAATCCTCAACCTTCTCTAAGTCTTATGACCATAAGTTTCTATAATTCCCAGATAATGAATAGCTACACCAAGTATCAACTTCTAGCCAATCTTAACTAATTCAAAGGAAGGAAAGTGGAAAGGGAAGGTTAGAATCTAAGAGGAAAATCTTGGAAGAAAGGATGCTAGGAAAATTATATGGACAAATTTGTATTTAGTTGTCAAACTTGATTGTGACTATTTCTTTTTTTATTTGAAACACATTTAAAGGACATTTGGTAATGCTCCTCTGAATAATTGGAGAATCCAGAAAAGCAGGATGGTCAATTTTGACCCTTGTCAAATCTTTTTTTCCATTTCCAATAGTGTCTTTGTATATTTAAGAGCTGCTTAGAAAATTTTATTTTATTTTGCTTTCACCCTATATTTGTTTTCATCTCTTTTAAGGTTTTTATTTTTATTCTGCTACAAGTAAAATTAGCTTTGTTATGGGAATTGTTCAAAGATTTAATTGTTCGGCAGTACATAAATAAAGCGTTATTCTAGAATCAGTAAATAATTCCCACTGAACTTAGTGCAGTTTAATTAGAATAGACTTTCTAGTGAGGTATGTATGATCATCTTACTGTGAAGAATGAGGATTCAAAATGTCTGTTTTTGTTAAGCTACTTCAATTCCAAATATTAAATATATTTTATTATTACTAAATTATATTAAATAATTTAACAAACTGCCCAGTAAATCCATTATACTGAATGAATTATTTTACTGATTATCGTACTAAGCAAATGTATTCCTAAGCCTCAGAAGTTAATTGAAACTCACCATGCCGGCATTCATTTTCATTATTGGAAATAAATTATATATAGTGTGTTCAAAAATTACTTTTTATGTGGTTTAGTTTTAAGTAGACATGCTAGGTATGAATGTTCACTGACATGATACCTAAGAATCTTTTACTTGTTACTCTGCAGAAATAAATCCACGGGGATTCGGTGGCACCATTCCCAGATGCTCTTCTTTCAAATGCTTTAAGTTATGTATTAAAACATCGTTAGCAAACAGAAATGATGCGGTGGCATCAGAAAAATTGGACTCTCGTGACTTGTTAATGCTTAGCAAGAATTAATGCTTGCTTTATTATTATTTTTTTAAAAAGAGTTGCAGCTTTCACATAAACACGCTCAGCCTAAATCAATCACTTTCCCCCACAATCCGCTAACAAAATAGCCCAGTTTAACATATCGTGAGAATCCAGCCCATCAGTCGTCCGGCCATAGAACCGCCTGCTTTCTTGCTCCTGGCAGCTGGTTTTCTCCGCCGGTGAGGACCAGATTCAGTTTGGGGAGAAAGGAAACTGGCAGCAAGAGAAGGAAAGACAGGACCTCCTGATCATCGGGACCCAGCTAACCCCAAGGCACCATTTCTTCCTCTGGAACACGCTCTTACCGTGAATCCCTTGGAAAGCGCGGACGCAACCCGCTCCCGAAAAGTCCCTGCAAGGCATCCAAACTCTTGCTAAGGTGCCTGGTCCCAGCCATCGCTCAAATGTGCCGTCCGAGCGCCAACGATTCCGAATGAACCGGCGAAAGGCCAGACCTCCGCCCGCCCCCGCTCCTCCCCGTCACACCTTTCCAGGCTCGCCCGATACGCCCACAGCGGCCAGGCTGGCGGTTTTTGTTTTTTTTAAAGAGAATGAGCTCCGTTGTTCTTTACAAAGATAGGAAGTAGTAGTCCAATCCCCCGTTTCGGATTTTTAAAGTCTTTTAACATCCCAGGGTGAGCTAGGATCGTATAGCGAGCTCAAATGAAATCGGGTTGGCAGTGTATGGCCAAGGGTAACTTTGATGGTGAAGGTTCGTTCTCCGAGCTTGTGGGTTGGTTTCCAGGCCAGGCAACATCTTCAGTTTAGGGAGTTTTCCTCTAAACTCCGCAGAGGATATTATCTAGGTTGGTAACGAAACCAACCCACAAGCTCGGAGAACCGAACCTTCATCCTCATCCTACATCCGAGCTACAGATATTCTCCACTATTGCAAGGGTAACTTTATCTGCACCGCACAATATTCGTTTGAGTGTTTAAACCTTGATTTTACCGAAGTAGCAAGTTGGTAGATTCAGACAAGCACTAATGCACAACAAAATTATCCAAGATGAAACCTTAATCCCTAACAGCACACTGTGCAAAGGCTGCTTTGTGAGGATCGAATCGATATGTTTAGTTATGCTTCTTTAGCCAAACTAGTAAGCGCTAGTAAGGAGTGCAATTTGCTGTCAGTTTATATTCTGGTGGCTTGCCTGTCAGTGTTGGGTGGTGGTGGTCTTAGAGATTCTTTTCGTCTGGGTTGTTTGCTGTTGACTTCATCAGCAGTTTCTTGATAATTTCTGGGACCAATTACCTCCACCCGACCGATTAGATCCCACAGATTAGGCCTCCTCCGAATTCCATCCGCCGGCCAGTGTCGACTGGCGACTACCCGGAGGAGAGCCTTCTCTGTGGCTGCTCCGACCCTCTGGACCCCCTCCGACCCGGTGGATATTCGAACCCTCACCACCCTCCAGGCCTTCCACAAAGCCCTTAAAACCTGGCTGTTCCAACAGGCCTGGGGCTAAAGAAACGTTGCGCCCCCCCCCCCCGTCTCGAATGGCATGACTGCTGTGTGTTTTAAACTATGTATTGTTTTGTGTCGTTTTTAATTTTGTCTGTATCCCCCCCCCTTCCCTGGTTGAGTTGTGAGCCGCCCTGAGTCCCCCGGGGGGGGGGGGGGGAGGGCGGCATATAAATAAAATCAACATTCAACATTCAACAACATTGATTAGGATATTGTTTGTTTGATTGTTGATCTGATGTTAACCTTGAAGTTAATCTCTCCGGATCTGGGTGCTGATTGCTGGTGAAGAGGTACTTGGGTCTTTTTGTTCCTTTTTGGACTGGGTGATCTTCTACAGGTGTTGTTAATGCCTATGTGTCTATTGATGGCTGATTTGTCAGAGTGGCAGTCTTCTAGAAATTCCATAGCTAGAATCTGAGCAATCATGAAGGATGTCAAGAGCTCAGGTCCAGAATAATGAAAAGTTTCAGATTTAGATGGAATATATGAGTAGGCTACAGACTTGCAAATGGGGTTTTATTAAGTGCAAGGGGGAGGCGGAGTCATAGACTATGTTAATAAGGCAAGAGGAAGCAAGTTTTCCTTTGTCTTGGGGGAATTTAAACAGCCACAGTTAAAACCAAGCTAGTTCCTCTTTCTGAGCAAAATGTAAGTGGAGAAAAGAGAGGGAGTGGATTAGGCCATGTTTAATTTCAAAAGCTTGAATATTTATTCCAGTAGGCTAAAATTAGTTAATGCAAGCAAGTCAGGTAGGAATGGGTGTGTGTGAACGATGCAAGTGTTTCCAAAATGCTTTTAGAAGGAAGGTGTCCTGTCACAATCCCCTTCTTCCTCAACTTTCCTCTTCCCTTTACTGAAAAATTGAGTGAATTGCTCGGGCTCACTATGCTCACTCTTACTGCAAAACACTGTCCCCTTTACCCTAAAGGCACTTTTTCAAAAAAACAATTGAACTTTCTTTGTTTTTCCTTGAAGACGTTTCACTTCTCTTCCAAGAGGCTTTCTCAGTTCATGAACTGAACCTGGATGACTGAGAAACTGGAAAGACACAGTCCCCTTTATTTAGCATCTCTTCACTCCTATTTGTACTCCAGTATTAAAGGATATGTCACTGTTGGGACATCTAATTACAAAATGAGTATGATGTCCTTTCATTGTCTTGGAAATCCTATTGCTTCATAATTACGGTAAAGCGGTTGTTAGAGTAGAAGAGTTAAGTTTCACTGTCTGTTTTGCAAAAGGTCTTCTAATGTTGGTAGTGTTTTGTCTATTGTACCACTCAATGGAAAAGGAGTGGAGAAGATAGATTACAGCAGATCAATATTTAGCTATATAAATAGTGTTCACAAGAACCATTGGTAGACATTTCCTTACCAAATTAGGGAACATCAGTGCAGAGAGAGATTTGATGCCTGGGACCACGAGTCTATTTTATTATATGTCAGAGAGCTTGCTTGGGATGATTTCATTAGGATTGGGAAGAATGTGTTTGGCCAAAGCATGCTGTACTAGATCAGTACTACTTTATTCTGGATCTCTGAATCTTTAGAGTTGGAGATGGAACCTAGAATTTATTTGTAGGAATTACATATAAAAACCTATTCACTGCAAAACGTAGAGGGCAAATGTGCTGAGCCATTGTTAGGGCAATGAAAAAATAAGAAAAAGCATTGACTCCATTTTTAAAATATAAGAATACTCAAAGTATGATAAAAAAGATGATCCTTAATTTTAGGGAAGGAAATACTTAAAATAGGCCTTAAATAAATTCAATAAAATAGGCATTAAATAAATTCAAAAGGAACCAAGGGATGAGGAAAGTCATAGTAGTCAAAATGGAAATAATGGAGATTTTTGAGACAAAATAACTAGTAATGTTACACTTCTTGATTTTATGGGAAAATAAAACTGAGTGTAGTGAAATGCACGTCTTGGATTTCAAGAAAGCAGATTTTAATAAAAGTCATAAACTAAATTCAGGGGAATCTGAAAGGAAAATGAATTAAAATGGGTTAGGGATTACTTTAAAAAAATGAAAAATTAGAAATCCAATCACAAACTACCGGTATCCAAAAAGGGTAGAAGCCATCATGATTCCACAAAATGTTGAAAGAAAAACTGAAAAGAAAAAAAAACACGCTTATAGCAAGTGGAATGTGAGACAAGCCACTAAGGAAGTGTGGCTGGAGAGTCATCTGTTGGAGATTACCAGTACTTTAGATTTTTGCACCAATTTCACTGGGAAAATCTGTGGGATAATTATTAGAGAAGTGTCTGGTAGTCCTTTTGACAGGTAAATATAACTGGAATTTTGAGAGCATGCTGTAGCACCTCCATTGAATAGTTGCCAGGAGAGGGCCTTGTATATCCATAAGAGAACTGTTAGACTAGGTGCAAACAACTATGACTTAATCAGGCTAAACTGGTGAGGATTACTCTGGACCAAACTCAAGTCTCCAAGATGTTCCTTCCTCACAGTTAAACCTCAAGTGTTCATTTGTCCAGCCAATACTTCCCCCAGGCACAAGTTGACACATACAAAGCGTTGGGTTTAGGAATGCCTCTGATGTTTTTGCAAATAAACATAATATGAGAAGCTGGTAGTTTAGAGTATATTATTTTCTTCATTTCTCTTAAATTAAGACTAATAAATAAGTAAGCAGGAAATCTGGACAGCATTATAGGTGGTGGGGGTATTGGCTGCAGCCCCTTGTTTCATAAAGAAAATTATATCATGAATATGACGTTTGCATCATTGTGAAGCAGGGAAAGAAGTGGCAGTTTGATGTAACAATGTCAAAACTGTCTGAATCAACTTCAAGCCAGATGTATTCAAGGCAAAGAGTACATGAACAAAATACTGCATGATATTGCAATGGGAAAATGCCCCTAATTCTCTGCATCATGTGGCTCTTCTTCAAGAATCAGACTGATGTCCCATATGAAATATTCAAGGCCTCATATCTCTGGAACATTTAAGCTACAAAATAGGTATAAATGCTTATTTGGGAATTAACCTACTATAAAAATTATTCTTCCCCATCCGTAGGTTATACCACTATAGTATAGATATGCCTGGCACATCATCCTCCCTTTCACTCCTTTGGGGGTGTATATTTATATATCAAATGTGATCTAATTTAATTCTTAATGGACTCTCCCTGCCACCCATCTGAAAGTGTATGCATTTGTTGGATGAAAGAAAGTTACAATATTTGACTCATAGTCCATGAAACCATATAGTCCGAATAATGAAAGCCAGTGAAATTAAATTAGCTTCAAATGAATATAAATAAGATGGTGAGATGTTGGTCCTGCATTATAAGCTGAAATATATATATAAATGCATGCCATACCTTCAACTAAAATGATGAGAAATGTAATTGACATATTTAAATTAAAGTGATTTTTCAAAACACCAACATGATTTTTTTTAAAATATTGATTTTTGAAGGGACTTTGAAAAGCAATAACACCTTATTTTGCTGTGATTTTAAGGTACATTGTACCTGCCATTTTTTTCTACTTATCTCTTTTAGAGATAAAAATTTAAATTAGGCAATAAAATTGAAAGCAAATTCAAATCAGAAAAATTGGCTAAACTGTATTTGTAATCTTGATGTCGCAGAGAAGACTGAGTAGGAAACCAACCCACTATTGAATCAGAAAAGTTCTCATTAGTAACATACAACCACACAAAGCCAATATATTTGCTCTCTTTATATGTAACTTTTGCATAAAGGATATCAAGTACAAAACAGTGGAGCCTAAACAGAGCACTTATGCCATGCCTATGTAACACTGAATGTTCTTCTTTTGTTAGTAGCATTAATAAAACTGCTTCCATCAAAAACATGTAACATCAGTGGCTTCACATAGCAGTGTCTTTTCCTCTTCCTGCTCAGCAGGTACCCCAACTGAATAAAAAAAA